ACCCCAGGTGTTTAATATCAGCCAAAAGTAGAAATGAAAACATCCGAGAACTAGAGAGAGAAGTTATAATAAGTGGTATTAAAATACTGAAACGGCAGATCCGAAGCCATGAAAACAGGGGACAGTGTCGGGGTTCAAGAGTCTCGCGGTGCCTCCAAAGGGCCAGAGATGAGCAGACTGGGGGCCACTGAACGAACTGACCTCCGGGAGGGGGTCTGATCCGGGTCTTGAAAAGTTTGCTCAAGACAAACCTGGCATCTGGGGCGGGGCTCACAAGCGCCAAGGCCGGGTGGAAGAAACACGCTGCCTGAGAAAACGTTTGCTGCCACTTCCTGGGACTTGCCGGTGAGACGTGGCGTGGCCTCCGGAGGAGATCCTGGGACTTGGCTGCAACCGTGGGCTCTAAACGCGCGAGGTTTGACACTTTCCTGACTGCTCTCTGCCCCCCCCCACCTCGGTTACTGACAGCCTCCGGCGCCCGCCCTTGCCCGATCCACAGGCGCTTCTGCCCCTGCTCCGCGAATCCCCCACCCCCTCCCCTTTGCACAAAAGAATAAAGGCCCGCTGTACTCTCACCTCATTAAAAACCGAGGGCTGCGCTCCTTTTATCTCATCCCGGAGCCTACAGGTCCTCCCGACGCTCCGTCCAATAAATCATTGCCCGGGTGTCGAAGGGGGGGGGAGAGATCACAAAGATCGCCCCACTTCGTTAGCCAGGACTGGTGGAGCGGAGCGCGTGGGCTGTGGAATCAGGCAAAACTTCCTTCTCTTGAAAGCTGCAAACGCGGGAGAATCCAAGATTTCCCCCCCCCCCAACAAGACGCGGGGGGGGGAAGACCTAATATTTTGCGCCTCCTCCTCCTCCTCCGCCCCCTCCCACTCGCCTGTTGTCCTTCGCATTTCCCTGGCCAGCTGAAAAGCAAGAGGCGAGAGGAGGTTTCCGAAAAGATCGGGCAGGAGGCGACTCACAACAGCATCACAAATCATTCCGTCTCAGCGCTGCTCCCGGGAGATTTTTTTTTTTTTGATGGATTAAATTAAGCGCTTCCATTTCCGTCCACCACCTGATCGCTGCATTATAAATCCGAACAGCTGATCCGCGAACCTTCAGAAATCCAGGCGCCTGCAAAGCGGAGGCTGCGGCAAGGAAGGCTGGGAGCTGTCCAGTGCTGAATGAGGAACCCCCAGCCAGCCAGCAATAACCGCCCCCCCGCCCCCCCCGGCTCCCGCCACCGCCGCCGCCGCAGCCCCGAAGCGGAACGACCGTGCCAATCGCAGCGCACACACAGGCTGGGAGGCGCGCGCATTCCCGACC